GCAGGCAGTTGCTACAGTTCTCCCTCACCTGCAGCCAGGGAGCAGAGCAGAGCTGACAGGCCTGCAGGGGGAGGAAACCTGTTCTCATTTGTGCTCATTGGCCAAGGCATGAACTGGAGACTTACACACATGATGCCATTTAGGTAGCTGGGTACAGGGCTAAATATATTTAAAGATAAGACTCAGAAGCCTTGATATATAGACCTATATACGGAGTCCTAGAGGTTATAGTAACAGCAAGAAAAACAATCATGAACATAGAGTAATCACTTTGGCAAGGGGTGAGGGGGGGTGTCAAGGACTGTGTTCTAAGTCGTAATGTACTTGGTTATATTAATCATGCAGCCCGGGAAACAGGCCAGGGGACAAGGGGCACACAGTGGATGAGGGCCCTGTGGGACCCAGGTCTGTGCAACTCCAAAGCCCGTGTCCTTCTCCCGAGTTCACAGTGGTGTAGTGCTTGTGCATACAAAACATCTGAGCTCATTTCACCCTCCCAGTGACCCGAGCAAGCCGAGCTGACGCTGTCCTTTGTGTCAGACAAGGAAGTCGAAGCTCCCCAGAGTGAGCTCTTTAGGCCGCCATGGCCAGTATGTGTCCCAGCTCTGACAGGAGCCCATGTCTTCCACCTCCAGGGCAGCCTCCTTCCCACCACACCAGGGCATGTCCCAGGTTATGCACAAGAAGAGGAAACTTCCTTTGTGTCGAGTAGGACTGGCGCTTGTTGTTGGAGCTGAAACGGAGGCAAGCCCCCTTGAGTCCACACTGGAAAGCCGCCGCCCGGAAGGAGCACCCAGCCCGAAGAGGGGCAGAGAGCCGAATAGTGAGGGCCTCATTGTGAGCGCGGGCAGCAGCACCAGCCAGGGGGTGTGTCTGCCCAGTGTGGAAAGGCTTACACATCTCCCAGCTCTCTGCACAGTCTACAGTGGAGAACAACACCATCTTTATTTACCAGCAAAGACAAGAAAGAGCCGTCGTCTTTTCAACTAGTTTCACAGACTTTCCCGGTCACTTACTCCTCTCACCGTAAATCCTCCTGCCTGTGTTGGCGTTTTTCCTCGGGTGCCTTTTCCTGTCAGTCCCTCAGCCAGCCTCTTTGGGGCTGTGCTTTTTAGCAAATTGCTCTGTGAATCTGTGTTTTTCATTTTGAAACTGAATACTTGATTTCCTTCCTCCTCATCCCTTTCTCCCTTCCACCTGTCACCCAACTCCTGTTCATCCTCAGAGGTGGTGCCCTTGGGGAGCCTCCCCGAACATACCACAATGGAGCCGTGGATGCGATCTCGTGGCACTCGCAATGCCATGGGCGCTCAGCTTCTGTGCTGGCATAGTGCGGGTCACGTGCCATGAGGATTCCTGGTGAATATGCAGCACTAACTGTAGCTCACACTCACCCAAATCCTGCCATATGCCAAACACTGTTCTAAAAGCTTCAGCTTCATATTGCTACATTGGACCTGAAGACAACCCCCATGAAGGTGCATTCAATTATTACTCCCATTTTATAGTTGAGGAAACTTAAGGCCCAGGTTTAATTCAGGTGAACAGACCCATGGTCATGCAGCTGACAGGCGGTGAAATTAGGAAGTGGACAATCTGTTCTAGTTTAAAGCCATTGTCTTAACCACTGCACTGTACTGTCACTACATTTTGGGGGGACACTGACTTGTGTCAGATACTGTTCTGAGGGCCTTATTGATTCATTTAATCCCCCTAGTAGCCCTAGAAAGTACAGGGCTGGCGTTTCCTATGTGCAGTGATGTCAGGTTCTTTACCCAGCACCTTCACGTCAGTGTCCCGGGCGGGAGGTGAGCACGGGTCAGTTTGACCCCAGAGTGCATGCTCCCACACTGCGTCACACCACTTGTCTTTGCTGTCTTTGATTCTCAATCTAGTAGAAGTCTCTGCCTTTTTTTAGACCGTGCACCCCTTGAAGGCAGGGCCTGCTGTTTGCTAGACTTTTGTTTCCCTCCTTGCCTGCTAGTGTGCCTGCCTTACAGTGGCTGCTCAGAAACATGTAGCATGAATGAGTAACCACGGTAGTAAAACGGTTGGTTCAGTGACTGAATTAAATGCATAAACCTCGTTGAAGGAACCATTGAATCTGCCAAAAATGAGATAAAAAAGGAACAGAGTTTTTCTCATTTAAAAAACAATACAATAAATACTTTGCTTCATCATTAAAGTTTATTGCCATCCAAGGGAAAGATGAAGTTCTGTTAGGAGTTCTGTTTTCACACTGTTTAAGATTGGAAATGCTGATTGGAACCAAAGCCTCCCATCACACCATGCCTCTCTGGCGGTGTGGAAATGCACTCTTTGGTCCTGTCAGAGTTAGGCACAGAAGGTTGTACAGTCCTTGCAAGACGCCGCCACACCCCATGGTTATGGTGCCCTCTGGAGATGGCGGGTGGTATTGCTGCTCTTCGCTTCTATGCCTGTCAGACCTCCGTGCAAAGTGCATTTCCTGTTGAGTCTCTAAGGTCTCATTTCATAATTATTTCTCTGATGACTTCATTCACGCTTTGATCATTATCAGCAGTTGCTTTCTGTTCCTTTGTTCAGAATTTCAGCCCTCCTTGATGTGCATATAGCCAAGTTCAATTTGGAGCTGTTCACTGTCATAAACCCTTGAATAAAAATAGCACATGTCAAGTTGAAAGCAAACACGTAATGCTGGGAGATGAGGAGCAGCTGCCTGTGCTCCCAGCGAGACTGGTCCGGGTGAGGGGCAGGAGGAGGCAGGTAGGTTTTCCTTCTGCGCCTTCTGTGATTGTTCCCATCTGCCTTGCGTAATGCTTGCTGAAGGATGAGACTGGCTCAGAGGAAATTAGGTGATACCCTAAACTTGGACCCTCAAGAGGCAGCTCCCTTTTGCCACGATTTGCCTAGCGGGTTATATTTAGCAGGGCAGAATTTAGCTATAAAAAATCCGTGACTTTTTCCCATTATCAGGATGGCAAAGTTTTCATTCTAATTTTTTGCAGGACAACAGAACTGACTGAACCGTAAACACTCATCTAATCCAGATCTCTGCCTTCCACCAAGCAATTGAAAACAGACAGTTGTTTGTCTCCTTCTTAAAAACCCCAACAAAGGAAAATTCTGTTTCTCACTTGTTCCACTGTTGAACATGATTTTTCACTGACAAGCTCTAAATTTTTCATGAAGTAGTTTTTAAAATCTTTTTTTTGTGTGTGTGTGGGGGGTAAGTTCATGGATTGTAATCTTCATATATAAGAAGAAATTAACATACTGTAATCTTCATATATAAGAAGATGATCACTTTAAACATTACTCAGTATCTGACCTCCCACAGGGTTCTTGGTGCTCGTTGGCTTAGCTAAGACCTGGTCCTTTTATTTTTTGAAGCCGGCTTGGTCTTGCATTGTTAGCCTTGAAGTCTCTTGTTTCTCCCACTCTGCTGCTTTTCCTATTCCTGTCATTCCCCACCACCCAGGCACATCCCCAGATAAGATATGGTAAATCTTCTCTTGAGTCATCAAGATTTAAATAGCTTTATTGAAATATTCCCAATTAGTTCACCCATTTAAAGTTTACATTTCAATGATTTTTAGTATATTCAGCTATCACTGGCTGAATATGCATGTACAGCCGTCACCAGAGATAGCTATAGGATATTTTCGCCACCTCAGAAAGAAGCCCCATATTCTTCAGCTGTCACCCCCTTGGTCCCCAGCAGTAGGCACTACACAACCTCTAATCTTCTTTCTGTCTCTGTGTGCTTTCCTGTTCTGCACATTTCATGTACATGTAATCCTACAGCACGTGGTCTTGTATGATTGGCTTCTTTTTCCTTAGTGTACTCTTTCCAGGCCATGATGTAACGTGTCAGTCCTCCATTTCCTTTTGTAGCCAGATAGTCCCTGTCATAGTGGGCTTATCTTCTCTTTAGTTGCTAGACATTTGAATTGTTTCCACCTTTGGGCTATTGTGAATAATGCTGCTGAAAACATGTGTGCACACGTTTTCATGCAGTGCTTTCTCGTTTCTCTTGGGTAGGTATGCAGGGGCAGTATTGCCGGTCAGCTGGCAGCCCTGAGGAAGGGTGTTGGGGGAGAGGGGGTGGCTTCGCATCCCCACTGGCAGCGTGTGAGGACTCTGGTTTCTCTGCATCCTCACCAGGACTTGTTATGTGACTCCTTGATTCCAACCTCCTATTTTATTGTGGTTTTGACTTATATTTCCCTAATCACTGAAATGTTGAGCTTATGTTCATATGCTTTCTGGCTACTTGTATGTCTTGAAAAAATGTCTGTTTAGAACCCTTGCTCATTTTTTAAATGAGTTACTTGTTCTTTTATTGTTGAGTTGCAAGATTTTTTTTTTAGTATATTCTAGATAATGGACCTGATCACATGTGATTTGCAAACCATTTCTTCTCATTCTGTTCTGAATTCATTCTAAAGACATTCTTGTCTTTTACCTTTCTTGATAGTGTCCTTTGAAACACGAACGTTTTTAGTTCCAACCAGATTCAATTAATTTTTTCTTCTGTGAGATTTCTATATTACATGTTACAAAGCTATTAGGTATATTTTTATTCTCCAAGTTAAAGTCGTAGAAAATATTGATGTGTTAGAAACAACAGCATCCCTCAAGAGCTTTTGGTGGGTAGAGTTTGCACTTCTCTTAGGAACCATGGACTGAATTAGGAGTTCTCACCCAGTGCTGCTTCGCCTGGGCACTTCGTCATTCAATCTTTCAGTCTTTTGCATGCTTCTAACTGGCTGGTTTTGAACTTATCGGGGAATTTAAAATCTCAACTAATATTAAATAACAGAGGAGCTGTAACGTTGTGTAAAGGCTTATGGTTATTCTGACTTTTAATATCCTATTTATATCTTATAAACAAACTTACACAGTTGTTTCACAATATGCTGCCTCACCCAAGCACCATCGCGTATTCTGGACGGTCACAGTAGCTGTGATAAAGGTGACAGTATTCACACAGGTTATCTGTCTTCCTGTTCCAACAGGTGTGGCAGATCCCAGAAAATGGACTCACCCTTTCCCTGACCGAACCCGTGGTGATTTTAGAAGGCCACTCAAAGAGAGTTGGTATCGTGGCCTGGCACCCGACAGCCCGCAACGTGCTTCTTAGCGCAGGTAAGAGCTAAGCACTCCTCTCCTGGGCCCTGGCTTTTGGTCCTCACCTCCCTTTGTGTTGAGGGACCTTCAAACGCATTCTGATTGTGTACTTTACAGTTTTAAGCAGATCATTAAGAATCCTGGGAGTGGTGTCCTAACCCTCGAGTTCGAGTGCGCTTTGATAATCCGACTGAAACATAGATCTCCTACAGAGGAAAATGAGCAGGATCATATTGCCCGCGATTTCAGCAGATTCCTGGTTCCTGAGGGCTCTTGATTCGTGCTAGAGGCTCAGTTATTCCTCACATAGTAGGAGGAACACGGGTTGCACCCAGGCTCTGGGTCCTGCCCTGGTGGTGTTTCCAATTTGGGGTGATCGTGTTAGGCAAATATCCTCCACCCTTAAAAAAAAATGCTTTCATTTTTCTCCTTAGCGAGCAGTATATGTGTGTTGCAGAGAGTATATATAAACAAAAGGAAGAAAATAAAAATCCCACCTTCCAGAGGGAGCATCATTCCTGCCATTTCCATGGCTTTTTCCAGAAGCAAGTTTTGTGCACATCCATAAATAATTTTATACAGGAAGATGGGTTCAGACATTTTACACATCATCTGCTTTCTGCGCTTAGTGACACATTGTGGTCCTTTTCGTGTACCTTTGAATGTTCTTCCTGTGATATTTTTAATGACTGCATTAGAGTTCGTTGTGTTCCTGAGTTTATTTAATCAGATCCCTAGTTCTAGTCATTGAAGTTTCTGATTTTTTTGCTATTAAACAGCTCTGCTGTGAACCCCCTGGTGTTCTTACTGCTTTTCCACGAGAGGAGTTTCCAGATTTTGTCTGACAATTCTTTGCCTTTGTCAGAATTGAAGGTTTTTATCTTCTTTTATAAAAGCAACACAAAGGGCAGGAGGGAGCTTTCTGAGGTGATGGAAATGTTCTGTTTCTATGGGAGTATATGTGTCAAAACTTACCCAATGTATACGTCAAGTGGGTGCGTTGCATTCTATGTAAATTACACTTTAATAAAGTGGTTTATTAAAAAAGCAACACTAACATTAGTGGTAGATTTTAAGGTCTTTTTTCTCGCCAGAAAAAAGAAGAGTGTGCAGTCAGTTTTTAACTGGAAATAGAGGGTATTTATGATATAAGTTAAATCTTAAATGCTAGGGAACTTATTGAAACCAGGGACGACTTTTCGAAAAGGATATTACTTAGGATTCTTTTTAAATTCCAATTGGCTGTACCTGGGAATCCTTCAGATGATGTCCTCAGACCACAATCTGACAAGGAGAGAAAAAACTTCCAGAGATGGAATTCCATCATGGAAAATTCCCTCCTCCCCTTCTCATCTAGGTCAGACATTAAGTCTCATCAGGAGACTGATCCTCACTCTCCTCCCTTCACAAGTGGAGGAGAGTGATGGCTCGCATGGTTCTGCATATTTTAAGACGATGTGATCTATCCACTGTGACTGAAGTTACCATTTGCTGGTGATGAGCAACGCAGAGGAAAGGTCGCGTCTCCATCCCAGAATTTTGCTCCATCTTTTCATACCCTTTTGCAGGTGTTTTTGTTTCAATTTTTTCCCCAAATTTCCTACTTCTAATCTTAGGTAACAGGTGCCCTGGATGTTAGTGGCTTATTTTCCTACAGTACTTGCAAGATGGGTTTATGGGTGGGAATTTCACTCTCCAAGTGTCCGTCCTCGTTTTGCTTCAACTTGAACTAGTGTCCTGGCACAACAAGTGCATGTCTTTTTAAAGGGTCCTGTGAACTTGGAGGAAGGGAGAATGGAGTTAATGAGCTGAGGGGTTGTGGCTGTGTCTATACTGGCCTCTTCTTGGGTCAGGTTCTGAATCCACAAGCCTGCTGGATTCCAGTTTGGGTTCTCAAATCAGGCCAGTCTTGGCCCATTTTTCTCCCGCTTTAAAGATAAAGATCTGCTGTGAGCAGGCGGTGAGGCCAGTCTTGGCAGCACTTCCTTCCACCGTGTGCTTTCCCTGCATTAATCCAGCCCTATGGTCCGCAGTGTGTCACTGACTTGAGTAACTGGCCACCCGGCGTTTTCGTAGCGTGTCCTAAACCTAAACACTTACTGAAACCCGGGTGTTTTGGTTCCCCTAGAAAAGAAAATAAGCTTCATTTGATCTGATGCTTGTTTTACTAGAAAAAGAAACTTATATAATCACTTGGGGTCCACCAACCCCAACTCTTAAACACAGAATTTAATTTTCTGATAGTTCTTTGTTTCTTTCATGAGCCCATACTAAGCATTTCTTTCACACCAGTGTCTTTTGCTGCTCATCACTTCAGTTTGTGACACCCAGCCCTTTCTTGGCGGTGCACAGCCTGACTGTAGTGTTCAGGACTGTTGCCGTATACGTGTCTCTAACCTTGGAGGGCTGTGCTTGCTGCAGGCTGTGATAATGCCATCATCATCTGGAACGTGGGAACAGGGGAAGCCCTGATTAACTTGGACGACATGCACTCGGACATGATCTACAACGTCAGCTGGAACAGGAATGGCAGTCTGATCTGCACAGCTTCCAAAGACAAGAAAGTGCGAGTAATCGATCCTCGGAAACAAGAAATTGTCGCTGTGAGTACTGTTTGGCCAAAACCCTGACTATGTGTAGCACTTTGGTGAGTGTGAACTTTCTACGCATCAAGGTGGGCGGGCGAGGCTGGCGGCCACCAGTGGACCCTCGGTGTGTAGACACCGGCATCGGGAAGGGCTTGTGGGACTTCTGACTATCTCAAATCAGTTCTTTTCAGGGATGTTTGTTTCTTGCCTGTATCCAAGTCCTATTTCTTACATGGTAACCATTTTTTCACAAAGAAACGTTTTTATCAGTGCACTAGAATCCTTAAGAGTTTAGCCGTTTAGATCAGCTCTTGACTTAAGTACTGAATATCGATTGGTTCCCCACCCTGTTCCAAAAACCATTAAGATGCCTTACGAGAATGTCGTAAGTCCTCTCAGCAGCTCCGTGTCTTTAATTTTTTTTTTTAAATATTTATTTATTTATTTATGCATGCATGCATGCATGCATGCATGCAAGAGCCGGGGTACAGGCCAGATGCGCGGGAGGGTGAGAGGATTCACCAGAGACAGAGTGGGGAACAGAACAGGCAGACAGACGAAATACACTGCTGAGGGGAGCAGCAGGCGGGACAAAGAGGTCTGCTGCGCCATGTGGGACCCTCACTGGCCGGCCGGGATCAAACCGGCGCTGCAGAGGCTGCGGACAGCTTCACAGCGCGGCACTCATCCGCCTGCGCCACCAGGGGAGGCCCTCCATGTCTTTAATTTCTGCCCCCAAACTAGACTACAACAAAACCACATTTCATGACAGGAGGTGGACATTTGGAACTTTAGTCAGGCTTAAAATGACAAGTGTTAAAGCCAAGAATGCTTCCCTTGAGCCTGCTTCCCTGAGATATGGTGGTTCTCTGCCCTGTGGCCTCTCAAGATTTTGGGCCCAGTCGTGTCTGGGGCTTGTTGAACAGCAGGATCATGCCTGGCCCCGTACAACGACGTGCTTTTCCCATTGGAACCTCTGAGGATGGTTCTGCTGTGCCATCACTGAGCAGATGAGGCAGAGGGAGGGCTTAGCCAGACTTTCTGTCCTAGGAAGTAGGAATTGTGCTAGAAACTGGAGGGGTGTCCAGCCTGCATGTTGTTATGCTCTTAGGATACAGACATTTGGCAGAGCTCATTCGTGTGTGTGGGTTGGTTGGTTGGTTTGTTTTTGCATTGCAAGAACTGAGTTTGGCAGCAGGGCCTTGTGGAAGGAGTAAGACTCTAAGTGAAATCCTGGCTACTTGGCTCACTCACTGAGGGGCCTTTACCAAGTCACTTAGTGTCTGTTTCCTCATCTGGGAAGGGGAAGTGGTCTGTTCTCTCTCTCTCTCTCATGCACGCTCACACGTGTGTTCACTTTCATATGAATGGCATGTGGGGTGTGGTTGGGTTCAGTTTGTGAGCCCCCTCTTTTCCTTCTTGCTGTTTGAATATGTGTAATGTGCCTGCCCCCAGGAGAAGGAGAAGGCGCATGAAGGAGCAAGGCCCATGAGGGCCATCTTCCTGGCAGATGGGAATGTCTTTACCACTGGTTTCAGCCGCATGAGCGAGCGGCAGCTGGCTCTCTGGAACCCGGTACGTCCTCCCCAGCCCCCACTTGCTCACACTTGCGCTTTCTCTTTTATGATGGGTCTTTGGGTGAGTGAGGATTCTTGGTTGACTCTTTTGAACTCCTGCATATCTTAAATTGGATATGTGAAGTTGTTATTCTCACTGGAAACATTGCTAAGTGTATTTCAGAAACACATTCTTGGTACTCCTAAGCAGTGTGTGTTGACTGTATATTTTAAAAAGAATGCAGGAAGAATTGTGTGTTTTAGACTTGGAAAATAATGAACTTGGTTCTCTTTTATAAAGAATGTGATCCAGTGTCGACATCAAAATAGTTATGCTTGGGAAAATGATCGTAACAGCATAAGTATAAAAAATACTGAACTAGATACACTAAGATCCAAACGGACCAAAATGGTAGTTATTTCTGCTACTCACTGTGCTGGGGATTATGGAATTTTTGTTGTTGTTTTTTTCTTATATCTTTTAAAGAACATATTTATTTTATAATAAGAAAAAAGATTTAAAAAAGGAGTCATAAAGGAGAAGGCCTCTCTGATTTCCATCATGAAATCACAGTGACATTTGCCGTAATTACCGTGTGCAGTGAACATGATTTTCAGTGGGCTGGAGCCCATTTCATGTCACTGTTGCTATTTACAGGCCAGAATGTTAATGTGCATTGCCCAGACTTCCATTATTCCAGGGAAATGGCTAACTTAACAGGATGAAAGAATGTATAATAATGTTATAGAAATTCATCTTTAAAAAATGTCTCCATCTGTATTTTAATTTTTCTCCAGAAAAACATGCAGGAACCGATTGCTCTTCATGAAATGGACACGAGCAATGGGGTGTTGCTGCCTTTCTACGACCCTGACACCAGTATCATTTACTTGTGTGGAAAGGTAAACAGTGGTTTTCATGGTTGGCATTAAATTCAAGAAGCTGAGTTTATCCTTCAGAGCTTTTGAAGATGAGCAGGATGTTAAATCATTTTCTTATTATTGTTTTTAAATTGTATCATTTTTTACGAGGTAACATTGGTTTATAACACTGCATTTTAATATTTTAATTCATCTATTTGTGTGTGTGGCGCGAGAATAAGGGCAGATGGCTTAGTTTTCGGTCTTCAGACTGGACTGTGTGTGGCCTGCCGCTTGTGTGGTGATAACGTACCGTGCTCCGTGTTTTTGATGGAAGCTGGGTCAGGGTGTTGGGGCAAACGCTGACGGGAATCGTCACTCAGTTCAGTGAGAAGGAGTACAGGCTGCTGACGTGTTTTCACCTACAGGTGCTGTGTGGTTGATGGTGTTAGGCTGCTCTGAATTGGTGCCAGGGACAAATAACCACTTTGCCATATATCATGCTAAAATCGATCAGGTAGCCTACAACTGGCAGTAAGTTACTTACTATGCGTGGCCTGGACTTGTGAGGAGAGAAGGGCTTTGTGGAGGAGCTTTTCAGGACCTCAGCGACTCTCTAGAAGGTCCTTGTTCCAGGACCTTAAAATATGTGGCCTGACTAACGTTTCAAGAGGTGACAGTTATTGCAGGAAGACGTGGCCGTGCTGAACTCAACACTCCTTTCCAGCCTCATGATCTCTGCCTAACTGTTGGTGCCTTTGTTGTTGTTATTCCCCTTTGATGGGTGGTGACCTCAATATTCCATATTCTTTTACAGGTTCAGTGTTCCTCAGAAATTTTTGTAGTTCAGACAGCTGAATTGACAACCAGGGAGCTTTGATGTGTTGCCTCAGAGCCGTTAGGATTGCCCCTTGCTGGATCAAGCTGGGGCTGTTTTCACTTTTTTCACAGTTGGTTGAGCATGCTGCGCACCTGCTTTACATTTTTATGTAAAGTTACTTAGAAACCAAGATCTTGTCTGTTTCCTTGAAAGTCATCTTGCTTCTGATGTTAACAGCTGTTGAGTGCACAGGCCTCCCCTGGCCAGTGCTGCCATGGCTGCGTCAACACCATCAAGCAGAGGCTCCCCAGAAATTATTCACACGAGGTAGAACATTATTTCGAATATGCAGAAAACAACTGCTATGTGTTTAGCTTCCTCCCGTTTGCTTTAGATATATAAATCATTGAACAAGACCGCATCATAAGAACTGAGAGGAATGTTAGGATGCAGTATGGTTTGGCTACTTCTCAGAGGTACAGATGGAGCATACACGTGCCTCCCGCTCTGCCAGGCAGGGCCACCTTCGCTGTTCAGCTTGCAACCGTGTGATGATTATTTGTGCATAAGGAGACCAGGATCAGCTTCAGCTCTCCAGAAACAATCTGACTGTTGTGAGCAAGGTTGTCATAGAATTTTATGTGTGACGAGGCAGCACTGCCTTCTGAAGTTAGAGGATACTCACTGAAAGGAATTGTTTCTTAATTAGAAAAGTCTTACTTTTCATCAGCATCTGCTTGTCTGGCAGTGGTGCCCTCGGCTCTGCAAGCCCAATGGTGCTGTGGGGTCCGTAGTCACGCTCTCAGCTGTCCTCCTGGTCTTGGTCTGTCTGCTGGACTTGAATAGAAGCAATACAGCTTCTAGTGTTCTCCCATTTTGGAAGGGAACACTTGTCGGCAGAGTTGGTAACTTTTGTTTGCCCTGACTCTTGACTTGGCGTCCAGGCTCAGAGGGGCAGAGTTTAGCCTTCAGAAGCACAGCACCCGTGGTCCGCTAGGTGATAGCTTAACTCATGTGGTGTCGGCAGGCCTTTTTTTTTTTTTTTTAAAGAGGATGACGAGGTTGGCCACTGTGACAGAGTCCCAGTTAACTCTGGGTTTTAAGGGAAGTGACACATCCACACCAGATGTTTCAGTTGATATTAAACGTAAACTTTTCTGATTTCTTGTAGGGAGACAGCAGCATCCGCTATTTTGAGATCACAGACGAATCCCCTTATGTCCACTACCTCAATACGTTCAGCAGCAAGGAGCCTCAGAGAGGCATGGGGTACATGTCCAAGAGGGGGCTTGATGTCAACAAATGTGAGATTGCCAGGTAAAGAATCCGTGTCGGAAGGTACTCAAATCATTTCTATTGTCCGAGTTGTAGAAGAGCAATACAGCTTCTAGTAATTCTCCAGTGCCCAAGTTTTCTCTGCTTGTCTGTGGTGTAGAATTAATATCTCATTTCCTGCCCACATTTGGAAAGAAGAGTTTCAGAGCAGTAAAGAACTTTCAAAATCTTTTAATCCAACTGTGTCCCTCTCCATTCTTCAGATTATATACCTTCGAGGATTGCAGTTAGATGCACGTTCTTAAACAGTGAGATCACCATCCTTCAGACTGAGACTGTGCCATGTCCCCTAGGAGGCGAGGCTGTCCTGGGATGGAAATGCAGGAGGGTGAACCAGATTCCAAACTGGCTTGTGGACCCCACGGAGGCTAAACTGAACTAGAGTAGCTAGTGCTGTCCAGCTCAGCCTGTTCTCCTGCTAGCTGGGCTTAGGGAATCTGTGGTGTCATCTGGTTCCTGTCTCTCTGTCTGTTGATTTTGCAAATGGGCCCATCTGATGCAAATGGGCTCCCTGAGGGGCAGGCCTTTTTTTTCCCACAGTAGTCAACAAAAGGTCATCAGTGAGGCTCACTGACCACTGGCCATTTTAAATGCGAAGGAGTCAGCACTATTAGCTCTTAGTTGGCACCAGCTTGGAGCACACATCTGTGTGATGCTGTGCTTGCACCAGACATCATCCTGGCTGTCTGCCCTGGTCACATAATGAAATAATGGACACCTATCTCTGTCTTAATAAAAATAAGAGTATTTTTTATATTAATCGCTATGGATTTTTTTTAATACATAGCTCTGTAATAGCTGGAGAGTAATAAAGGAAAACTGTCACAGATAATTCAAAATTGTAGTTTAAACCAGACTAACAAGCTGTGGTTAAAAACAGATTGAAGCTGAGTTTAAGATTACACCCAATATCAGGAACACATTTATTTTACTGCCCCCCCCCCCCCCCCCCCCCGCCGCCGCAAGGTTTAAGAGACTGTAATAAGCACAATCAGTCAGGATGCCCCCTCCCTCAGCCTTTCACCATCTGTCAGGCACTGTGCTGGAAGCTGTGTGGATTCCCCTCTGCCCTCTGACAGCCTGAGGGAGCTCTCTTTATCCCCACTTCATTGGCGGGGAACTCTGGGCTGGGTGAAGCTGTCACATGCTCAGGCACTGCGGTGGGTGCAAGTCAAACCCAGCTCGATCATTTCCGCCAGTGTGCTGGCTTCAGAGGCTTTGTGCTTCGTGTTCTATTCTGTCCGTGCTTTGGATAATTCCAAATGTTTTCTTGAGTGTTAGACATGATGTGTTTTGCTTGGAAGCCAAAATTTTAATTCCTAGGGTTGTTTTCCTTTTTAAAGATCATATTTACACTTACAAGTGTTCAGCCTCCTCAAGTTGGCAGACCTGGCATCCAAGCACAGATATTATCTGACACGTAGGCGTGTGTTCCCTTCTACTGACTCAGTGACTTCTTCCCAAGTGACTCACTGTCGGTGGAGGTGTCATTTCCACCACATTTGATTTGCCCCCAAATAGCCAGAATTTGTTACCACGACGGGGAGACCTCTCTCCTCCTGGTTCTTGCCTCCAGCCCGCCGAGTCCTGCTTCCGCTCTCTCATCTGAGATATGGGAATGCTAAGTCTGCCTGCTCCCCGGGTGGGTCAGATGAGGTGACAGGCAGAGCATTTCATGCCTCACAGCACTGTACAAGAGCTGCTGTGACTGTTACTTGGCCTCCTCTTTTGCCTAATGCAGCCTTGCCTTTACTTTCCCTTTGAAGGTTCTTCAAACTCCATGAGAGAAAGTGTGAGCCTATTATCATGACTGTCCCCAGGAAGGTAAGTGCCTGACTTTCTAGGCAGCCCATGTGTTGAAGAGATAAAAATTAAACCCCTGACTTTCTTCTTCCTTGCCTAAGGGTTTCCCCACAATGTCTTTTGCAGTCAGACCTTTTCCAAGATGACCTATATCCTGACACGGCGGGGCCCGAAGCCGCGCTGGAAGCAGAGGAGTGGTTTGAGGGGAAGAACGCAGACCCAATCCTCATCTCCTTGAGGCACGGTTACATTCCAGGCAAAAACAGGGATCTCAAGGTTGTTAAGAAGAACATTCTGGATAGCAAGCCCAGCGCAAACAAGAAGTGCGACCTGATCAACGCCCCCAAGAAAACCGTGGACACGGCTAGTGTGGTAAGACCTGTGGGAGGTCAGGGGCGTGCTTGGCCTGTGCCCCTCATTCCCTTTGCCAGTCCTCCAGCGGCGCTTTCAGTGAACAGTGGTGCGTCCTGTCTGCACCAGCCTCCTAGGCACGTCACCTTCATGTTTGGTGCCGCATTGGCCCTCTGACTCTGACTTTTACGATGATTGGGATAGAAGTGGTTCTGCTACTGTCTCTGAGAGTCAATAGGGCTTCTTGAGTTTTTGAAACTGTCTTTCCTCAAACTGTTTGAGGAAGAAGTGAGCCTGGGAGCCTGTGGTCACAGTCGCCAGGGAGGGAGGGGAGTGAGAGGACTGTGATGCTGCCATGTGTTGGCAGTGTGGGCCTTAGCAGCAGAGGCGACCATAGCATCTCCACGGGGACTGCGGCAGTGGAGTGAGGGGAACGGAACCTGGCACTGAAGAGCTGGGTAGCCCCGGAGGACGTTGGTGGGCAGTGGGCTGTGGGGTGTTTTAGGGGCCAGCACTGTGAATTGTCAGAGAAGGTAAGCAGAATGAAGCGGTGAAGTGCCTGGAGGAACCGGCATTTGGGCCATGACAACTGAGGCAGCCCCATGAGGACTTCGGTGACTGAGGTTTCCGAGAGCCTGGGCCTCTGAAGAAGGGTTAGTGGCAAGACCGGGGATTAACCCTTGAGCAGGACCCTCCCTGGAGATGGTGGGGGCTCTGGAAGGTCGCCCCTCACATTGGTCAGAGAGGTTAGTCCTGGTGGAGCTTTCACTAGGGCTCTTGGGGTGCAGGAAAGCTCTGAAGGAGTCAGTCTTTTAATTTTTTTTTTTTTTATATAGACGCATGTTTTACTTATTTATTTATTTGTTTGTTTTGTTTATACAAGCACTGGGTACAGTCAGAAGCGCGGGAGGGTGAGAGAATTCACCAGAGCCAGAGCGGGGAGCAGAGCAGGCAGAAGGACCGAAGTACACTGCTGAGGGGAGCAGCGGGCGGCAGGAGAGGTCTGCGCGCCATGTGGGACCTTCCTCTGGTGGCCGGGGAGCAGCCGGGGATCGAACCGGCGCTACAGAGGCTGCGGGCAGCTTTGCAACCCAGCGCTCAACCGCTGCGCCACCGGGGAGGCCCTGAAGGAGTCAGTCTTGTCCTGCGTTTACCTGTTTCCAGAGACTGTCAGGCAGGCACGCAGGCCCCAGGGCCAAATTATGCCCTCACAAGGCCCAGCGGCTGCAGCTGGCCATTTGAAAAATAGAAAACTACATTTTACATCTCAGTTTACAGATTTTTAACCATCTTTTCCCCACCTTTTTTGTTTCCTTAGCAAAATGAAGCCAAGTTGGATGAGATTTTAAAAGAGATCAAATCTATTAAAGACACAATCTGCAATCAAGACGAGCGCATTTCCAAGTTAGAACAGCAGATGGCGAAGATAGCAGCCTGAGGACCACCCCGCGCAGGGAGCTCGCAGCCGGTGCTGGTGTGGTCCCGGGAGGGCGAGCCGGAGGCACTGCCATTGGAGACATTCCATTTCAGATCTGTCAGCCAGCGATAGGCCACATTCCAGTGAGAACTCAATTCGTCTCCCAAATTTACAGAAACAAAATGTGATTTAAAAGCTGAGCTTTTTATCAGAAAGCTTTTTTGATGTTTTAAGTGTTATGTGACTTGTTGAACTTTCAAAAGATAAAAGTGCTACTTTTAAAATCCCAGATATTCTCAATTTTAGAACACCAACCAATTCTGATTCAGTGTCATGCCCAAGTACTTTTTTTTTTTTAAATAGGGACCAATGCCACATTGCTTTTTATATTTCTTCTTTTTTAATGTTGCCAAAACCAAAAGTAGCTTTTTTTCTTTGTATTTTGCTACTTTGCAGTATTTGTGTGTGGTTTTTTTTTTCTTTAATTTGAAAGGGACAGCACTGTGTATGTTTATAAACTAAATGAAGATGTTATTTTGTATAAGCAGCCATCTGCGCGCCATCCGCGCGGCCACCGCCTCCAGGCCGTGGGCAGCTCGCGCCCGGGGCGCTCGGCGGCACTGACGGAGGAGGGCTTGCAAGATCACGTGGGTTCCTGTCACCTCTCCTTTGATCCAAAAGTCCATATCCTGTCGTTGCCTTTCTTCCCTTTCTCATTTCTAGAAATTAGGTGGTTGTATCAGAATGGAATTTTGCTTCTTGGTTACCTTGTGCTTCAGATGATTATAATCTAACCTAAACTAGCACGTGTTTCTGCAGTTTTGTTAAACACATGGACCCATCGCGTTATCACTTTAAACATCACGTTTCTGGTTTTGGTCAATACTTGACAAGGGTGCCCGGGACAGGATGACACCCGTGCTGTTGAGTGTTCCTTCTTGCCCGTTCCTGCGGCTTGCCTAGCTCTCGGCCCAATGGGGGACTAGAAACTAGGGACCCAGGAGGGGATTCCCCGTGCCCCCTGCTGGCCCAGGCTGCACTGGGGAAGGAAGGGGCTCGGCCCGCACCAGCGCAGCTCCTGCCCTCCCTGTCCCTCACGTATGCAGACACCTCTCAGGGCTCCCTTCTCGCCTTCCTGCCTGTCCGCCCCAACTGCATTCAGCTGAGACGAGAGAGCCGAGGGTGCTCTGGGTGCTGAGACTGAGGAGAGTAGTGCAGAGTGAAGGGAGACCAAGAGCGCAGACCCCTGTGGTGGCTTCGGTGTGTCCGGACCATGTACCCTTTCGCCATCCGCACGGGCCAGCCTGCTGCCCCTCCAGCTCACCAGAGCTGTGTCAGAGCACAAGACCAGATTTGGGGCCGGGGGCCGAGACCGAGCTCTGCTTCCCCGTTCCATCTAGGTTAGCGAGGACTTCTGTCCACTTTCATTTTCTTCTTTTGCATGCTTGTGGAACAAGGTGTGAGGAGCCTCTGTTCTGAAAGGACGGAGTGTCTAGGACAGAATTTGAAGCGTGCAGTGCCACTGGGCCCCCCGGGGCCTCTCGCACGCGCTGGTGTGGGGCTGGACCGGCCGACGCGTCTGTGTGTGCAGGGAACCGGGATGAGCTCAGTGGGCTGGAAGACAGCCAGGCTGGGGGACGGTCTGCAGGGAACGGTACCTGTTCCTCACCGACACCGGGGTCGCTGTCTCCAGGGTTTCAGGGCATCGGAACGTGTGACGTGGTGGTGTGTGCGTGTGCATGTGTGTGATTTTAATAATGAAGTGGATCATGAGCTGTAACGAAAGCAGTAGTTACCGTGACTTGTGTTCAGACCTGTACATGTTTCTTGCTCAATGGAATCTGCTGAGGACCTTCATTTTTAAGAGTCAGAAATGTTTTAAAGGTTCTGATATCAAATTAAGTAAAAAAAAAAAGTGCGGATGGTGGTGAGACACCATGGGAATGTGGTAGAAGGAGCAGCGGGAGGGCAAGAGAGGCGGTCCTGATCGTCTTGTGTAGCTTGTGACTTATTTAATGAGCGGATGCCCAGCCAGGCTCAGAGTCCGGTGCCCGAAGCGTTGTGGATTGTTTTTCCTGTTTTGTCTTTATTTTTTTTTTAAGTCATGCTATCCCAGAGGAGAACCAGTGAATGACTCCTAGATCGGCTCTTATAGAGCGGCCATAGTATTCTGTCAAAACACCTGCTTCCATTTTCAAAGATAAAAAGATCATTGATTACAAAACGGTGTCCGTGTTTATTTCACCCCTCGCTGGCTCAAGGGGCAGCCCCCGCTGCTCTGCCTGATGCAGCGTCTCTGGCGGCGTAGACCTAGCCAGGTGACTTCCTCTCCGAGGGTAAGTACTGGGGGAAGGGGTCAGCCGCTCGGCTGCAGTAAAGGGGGAGTCGGGGTATCCAGCAAACAGAGCGCTTCGGCCCCAGAGTCCAGCCTGTCCGCTGCCCCCGCTAAGGGTGCGGCCTGGGCAGAGGGCCTTTTAAATCTTGAAAGAGGGTGAGAATTTCGTATAGTTGAGGTGAGAGAGCTCTCCTTGCCGGCCTTGCCCTGTGCTATTGTCACTGCAGTGAGCCGATTCTCGGAGAGGGCCTGTGACCACGTGGTTTTCTCCAGTAGAAGCAACTTCTCGCCTGTGATTTTCTTTCCAGCAGCAGGTTTTCAGGGTCCCTTGAGTGACCTGGCCTCTGTTTCTGCTAAAACATTTTTGCACTAAAACATTTTCTCATGACGTTTCAGTGATTGTAGCAAAAGATTTCCCACCGTTTGGTTTTTCTAAACATTTGTAAACATGATGAACAGCTGGGGCGCTCCCCCACTCCCATACCTTCTCCTGAAGTTGCTGTGGCCTGAGAACGGCCGCCGGGCCCGTGGGCAGCCCGTTGTGGCAGGAAGTAGAAGCTGGCAGACACTGTCTGCCCCTCGGTGCCCACGGTCAGCGGGGAGACGCATGGTGTGGGGGGTTTGCAACTGGCTGGTTTTCTTACTTTGGCTGCCTTGCTGCTTTGCCAGAAGACCTAAAAATCACCATGGTAGCCCCAGACAGCCAGGGGAAACTTCCCGTTTTTTTAAAAAGTAACTTCCCTTACTGTACTTGGAGTTCTGTGTCCAGAAAAACTTTCAGTTGGCTCTTAGGAATCTGTTAACTCTAAGTGGCCCCTTTTCTGCCAGCTAGCATATAGATGACCCGAAGCCCATCTTTGTGTCACCACAGGATTGGAGCGCACACCTTTCCTTCAGAGGAGCTGTAATTGCTGCCCAGGATGGTGGCCTTTCTTCCTTTTTTTTCATTAAAAAAAAAAAAATGCCCTTGGCTGTACTGCCAGAGGGAGTGCATGCAGACTGGTGTGACCTTTCCAGAGAGAGGCTTGCTTTTTGGCCTTTGGACCTCTTGAGAATTTTGCCCCACCCAGGAACTAGTCAGACAGGTACCCAAGAATTAGAAGAATAAAAATTAGTCCAGCTGCAGGGGGTTGCATGAGTAATTTATTTGCCACACTTGTGTTATAAACACTGTAGTTATTTAAAGTGATTTTAAAAGGATATGAAATAGCAAACATTTTAAAAATAGGTTGTAAAATGTAGTCAATTCCAAAAGTACATTTTCCAAAGAAAGTTAGGGGGGCGGTGAAGTCCACTAGAAAACTCGCTAAACCTCAAGAACATAACAGGTCAGAATTTCTGGACAAAAGTTCAGGCTTTGCCCCACGACCCTGAATATCAATGAAGCGGGGTAACCTACCCAGAGCAGATTATTTTCGACAGACTGACCTTAAAGGTTGCATGCATAAGAAGCGTGTATTTATGAGTAGAATAAATGCCACAAATGTTGCTATTTCCAAATAGCAGTTATGGGTCCTTTTATTGGATTTTTCTGAATAAATTTCCTGTAAATATTTGTATACGCGGAGAGAAGTTATTAACATGGGTGAGTGATGATGACATTATTAAAACAAGCATCATCTGACCATGGGGAAGGACAGGTGAAGTCACATGAAGTGACTGGGGCAGGGACTCCACCGAACCTCATGGTGACACCAGATAGATTCTTAGTATAGTCAATAGTTACGTGAAAAGGAATTAAAATGAGAACAAAACATTTTTTTTTTAATCTGGACTCCAGACTAGGGAACACATACGAAATCCCAAAGCAATGGAATGAGTCACAAAGGAAGAGACTGGCTACATAAAAATTGAATTGCATGAGACTGTAATATGTTAAAACAATAGAAGGCTGTGGAAACTGGGAAATATATTCTATGTCAATAGTATAAGGAATAATATATTTGAATTTGCTTAAACTCTTTCCTCCGCCTCTGTTTGAAATGGACGTGATCGTCCCTCCCTGGTGGAGGTGACCAGTTTTGAGTCCAAGATAGCAGCTGGTGGTGTTCCTTGTCCCTGACTGCCCCTAGGAATTGAGTCCACAGCAAATGGTGTATCACACGCCCACGAGGTGGAAGAAGTATGCTAAGAGACATTAGTCATAATGTGCTTTGTCAAAGTTCCTCAATTGCAAGTTTCTGAAACAGGTGGAATGAAGAAATGGGGAATGAGAAACTGCTCCACACCCCAAGGTACTCCAGGGTCGGGTCACTGCTGATTTTGTGGGGTGGGTGGTTTTGAAATGTGCAGAAAGAGAAGTTTTAGAGAGGTTGGCAGGATCTTTGAAATTCGGTGTAGTTTTACTTTATTGCATGGAAATGAAACTGGGTACGAACACTGATTTTAACAGCCTGTTAGTAAATGGGGTTGCGGGGGCGTGTTTGGGTGAGGAACAGCTTTTTTTCTTAATGGCGTCTTACGCTGATCTGAAGGCTACATGCCTGTTTTCAGAAGGGATGAGAAGGGTGGGTTAGGCGCAGCCCTGGGAGAGGGGATTCAGACAAAGGCCGGGCAGGCAGTTGCAGGCATGGGGAAGGCTGTGGTTGAAAGAGACCAGCAGTCACAGGTGTTTCAAAGGGGAAGAGGTGCCCACCTGGTGCTAGGTGCCAAGTGTGTGTACGTGCACACACCCCTGCACACCAGACCTCCAAATACAAACAGCACTTTCCCCGCCTCGTGGTCCCCTAGTCCCGGCGACGCAAAGAAATTACAGCAAAAAGGGTGGGGGCCCTGCAGTGCTACAGAAGCTGGGGTGGGGGAGAAAATGGGGGGCAGGCTACCCCATTTGTGCAGCCTCACCTCCCCAGTGCCCCAGGAGCGGCCTTGCCTTTGTGTGAGCCCTGCTGCTTTCCCGTCATTCTTTTGCGGTCTCGTTGTCCCCCCCAGGCACACTCTGTTCTTCTGGGCATCCTCTGGGTGAATCCTTGCTTTTGCAATGAGCAACTAAGGGTCCTTGTGAAAACTGGCGTGGGTCACCCAGTAGTCAGCAAGGAAAAACAGGCTAAAAAGCAGTGCCCTGAGGGTCGAGAAATCAACCATCACAATTTCAACAACAAAATCCAAGCTCCTGGGTGGCACTGGCCAGGTCTGACAACTGGGAAGTTGCCCCGTAGATAACAGGAAATTGTTGCGGGTTCACTTCCGGGCTGACATGCTGTTTGGTTGTGGAAGGCAGATAAGCACCTCATGGTTAACAAACTCCTGGGCTGCTGACTGCTGCCCTCAGCTACCTTTCCCCAAATGACACATGAGTTCTTATCACCCAGGCCAGTCTCTACCAGAGGAAGTGGATCAAGATGTTACAGAGCAGGCAGGTGATTTCCCATCTGGGCAGATGGGCACCTGCCAGAAACCTCGCCTTACGAGCAACGCCAGACCGTAGTTTGAATTGGTTCCTCTACTTCCACCCACCTGTTCCC